AGGAAAACGTTGTAATGGGCCAAACGGTCAGATGAACCGTGTCCATATAGAATAGTCGAGCCCCGACGGCAAAACATGTACGTATGTATCAAATTACTTGAAGAAGCATTCTGTTTATATCAAAAACACTTTGCGTCTCAAAGAAGTCTACTATTATACGAGCTCTACACTTATAATCCTATGGGAAACGGCTCAAGAGCCAAAGCATAAAAACACCCCCGAGTATTCGGGGACTGCCATCGATAGCCAATACATCCGGGTCACCAAAAACTCGAACTCATAAGACCTCAAAGAGGCATCTCCTAGAAACAAAGGCCAATATACTAGGGGACTAACTTTTAGAACAAGTTCGTAAAGTTATCGGGTAACAAGTCCAAGTGACATGCCCGAAGGCTACGGCCATATTAAAGACTACGGTCATGTAAAAAGGCCACGGCCTAAATAATGCGGCTCAGAGACGTCCGACTTCCACTATAAATCAAAGGCCTGCAAACACTTTGAAAAAACCGGTTAAATCAGGCTACCCTCGGCAAAAGCAAAATATAAAGGGCTTCGATAAATTCAGCCCTCGAATGATCCAAAGGCTTCGATAACATCAGCCTTCGGAAAAACCTCAAGAGGCATTCGATTATCAGTACACAAGCAAGGTCCCGATACGTCGAACCTTCAAAAAACCCAACGGGTACAAAAAACACATGCTAAGGCATAACTAAATTTTCACTAAGTCTTTTAGCCGAAATGAGGGAAAATATTATATAGCCAATCTAGAGGCTGAATTGGCCCAACTTAAAGAGCCTAAGGGCCGATACATAAAAGCCTAAGGGCCAAATTAAAGATCCTAAGGCCCGATATATAAGAGCCCAAGGGCCAACTTCGAAAGGCTTAAGGGCCAAAACTTATAGTTCGAGACTCCGTTCTCACTCGACCCGGACTCAAGAGTCACGATATCCCGAGCTCACATCAGATCGGTTTAAACTTAGATTGAGGATTATTATATATATCGATAAAGACCTAAGGGTTTATTATATTCTAAATACGAATCAATACTCGGACTGATTGTTTGAATTATCGAAATCTACCGTAAATGAAAACAAAATAAAATTCAACACAAGTTGAGGATAGAGCGAAAAGATACTTTATATTCACGAGGGATGTTTTACAAAACATATTTACAACTCTCGCAAGGGGCCCTTGCACAGAAAAGAAAAAGAGAACCTAATCTAATTTCGGGGTCATATCCCCGGGAGCGCCATCCTTAGGAACTGCACCTTCGGCAGCTCTATCTTCAGGAGCCTCCTCTCCCTCGGGAACATCTTCTTCACCTTCCCCGTCCCCGGAGCCGCTCGCTATATCCTCATCATCGGAAGAGGCAAGAAACCTGGCACCGGTTTCCCGCGCCTTTGCCTCGGCTATCTCCTCGGCAAGATTGAACCCTCGGGCATGGATTTCTTCAAGGGTCTCCCTCTGGGCCTGGCACTTGGCCAACTCATTGCTCCATTTTTCCTGGTCGGAGCCTTCCCTCAACTCAGCTTGAACGGCCGCGGTGTCCCTTAAGTATACGACAATGGATTTATCAGCCGCGGCCTTTGTCTTCTCAGCTTCAGCCTTAGCCTGCACAGCTTCTGCCCGGGATCTAGCGAGCTCTGCCTCTAACTCCTCAATCTTCTTGGCTTGAACCAGACCCTTCGCTTTAATGCCTTGGAGTTGAGTTTCAGCCGAGGCCAGTTGGGCTGTAACAGCTTCCTTATCGACAGCGAGCTGATCCATGTTCTTCTTCCACCTATGACAATCAGCTTTAACTTGATCAACCTCGTTCCGGAGCTGCCCAATCATCTCCAACTTTTGCTGTAGCTGAGATAGCGAAGTGTTAGCCTCCGAAGTAGGGCCAAGAAGTACGTACCCTGTTAATATCACAGTTACCTGCTCATCTAGCTCGGCCTCATTTTTCTGGGCTTTAGCCAATTCAACCCGAAGATCCTTAAGCTCCTCCCCCTTTTGGATACAGAGGAGCCTCGGGGCCTTCTCTTCGCATGAAACTTTCTTGAGCTCGGCCTCACATTGGCTCAGCTCAGCTCTAAACTTTACAATGACCTATACAGGAAATGAACATATATCAGTCAAAGGAAAAGAAAGAAAGAAAAAACTACAAAAATAAAAGAAAGTATTTACCCGAGAGAGGAGATGCTGGGCCTCTTCGAAGAAGGTGGATGCATCGTTAAGGTCGGCGGTATCATCGACCCCAGCAAAGCAACTCTGAAAGGGATCTTCTTCGAGGACCTTGCTTGGATCGGGCGTACGCAGTCGCGTTAGCTTCTTCTATTGCATCCTCAGAATAAGTTGGCAAAGAAAGGGATTGACCTATTGTCATGGCCTCGAGCTCGTCACTCGGGGCATTCTCATTAGCTTCGGGGGTCTCCACATTTGCCCCTTCCGGCATATTTGTTGAAGGCGGAGGAACGATCTCAACCTCCGGGAACACGGGGGCCTTGCCCGCATCTTTCTTTGGGGTTCCTTCACCTCGAAATGAGGTCTCTAGTTCGGAGGCCTCGATTGGTTTCCTGGTTCGAGGCACCAACGTCGACTCTTTACCATCATTTTCTTCGTCATCCGGGGAATCGTGGGCCGAATCTGCGTCCGCATGAGCAAATCTCTTCCGTAGCCTTCGAGCAGGGGTTTTCTTATCTTGAGGGTCTTCAGGCTTCGAGACCCTCTTCCTTTTGTTGTCCTTCCCCGATTTCAGAATCGAAGGCTTGGTCTTTTCTCCGGGCGGAGACGACCTCATCTCGGATGCATCTCCAAGGCCTGCACAAGTAAACGTGAATGAATTGATGCCACCAATATAGGAAAAGTACTTGAAACTTGGGAAAGGCACTTACCATGATTCTTGGCCTCCCACTGGCCCTTCGATAATTCACGCCACTTGCGCTCATCATAAGATGAAGTGGCAGCTAACCTTCGGACCCAATCCTCGAGGTCTGGCACCGCGTGGGGCGCCCAGGCAGTGGCTGCCAAAAGAAGAGTAAAGGCATTATGAAATGAGAAAGCAGAATATAAATAGATACTGGGAAAAAGAACTCCACTTACGATTAAAGTTCCACCTCTTCGGAAACGGCATTTTATCCCTGGGGATGACATCTAAAGTTCTTACTCTGACGAACCGGCTCATCAAACCTCGATCTTTGGTTTCATCAGTACTGTCAAAAAAGGCTTTCGTTGTTCAACGTTGCAACTTGATAAGCCCTCGAAATAGCTGGGGCCGATATAATCGAATCAGGTGGCTGAGGGTGAATTCCAACCCCTCAGCCTTTTCGGAAAAGTAGCGCAGCATGATCACGATGCGCCAAAAAGAGGGGTGACCGAGGGTGACTTTGTATGTTTTGCAGAAGTTGATCACCACCAGATCCAGGGGACCCAATGTGAAGGGGTAAGTGTAAACACTTAAAAACCCCTCCACGTGGTAGTAATGCTTTCCCCGGGGCTTGGGATTTGAACCACGACCTCATCTCCCCAACCAATCCTTCTTCACATCTGTAAGATGCTTCTCCGATATCAAACTAAGATTTCGAGATGCTGCTCGCATCGGCCTGGGACATCGGGGGGATTTTCAATGCTAAAGTCCTTCTTAATCACGCAAGGGCAAGGGGTGATTTCCTCAAGAGTCGGCGGCACCACCAGTTTTACCGATTGAGAGGTAGAAGAAGTCGACGCTTTATCTTTTTTGGGTTTGGAAGTTTTAGCCATGATTTCAAACTAAAGAATACAGACTGTGTCAATATGTGGCGTTTTTACAAGGACCTGGCGTTTTCCGGCGCTTAAGGAGGCGGTGGAAACAGATGATTAGAGAAAGAGATGAGGAAGGGAAAGATATAATGAAAGAGTAAAGTTCTTTACTTAAGGATATAGCCTCATATTTATAGAAAAGTGATGACGGTTCGGCTGCGCTAGTGGCCGACCAGTGGTGGCATGCATTTAATGTTTTGGGGAAGCGAACCGACGGGATGTTTCGGTCACTTCGAGCGCCTGCGTCATAGGGATGACATCATCGTGATGGACTCCGAAAATCGAAGTTCTAATCGTTTCTTATCATCTTATTCTAAGAAACGCGGGGACTATCTGTATACGGTCAAAATCAAAGGCCTCCGATTTACAAGATCGAGGATCCATCATAGGCCCAAGTTTAGGCAAGGTCGAGTTCGAGACCGGTGGACCAGAGGCAAGCTCGAAGACAGAGTGCAATGCCCGGAGATAGGAGTACGAGGAATACTAGGCCCGAGTATACTCGACCCTGAAATAGTACCGTTAGGAATTCGTAACAGAATGAGCTAGATTCCTGCCACGTCCCCATAATCGTGGCGCAAATCCCGGAATAAGATTGTACGATTCCGTACTAGACAGTTAAACAGCTGTATCAAGAATATTCCCTACTGTAAATGGAAATATTCCTTATTTAGGGTTCCCTTATTATATAAAGGGGACCCCAATTATTTGTAACATCATCTTATCACTGAGCAAAGAATATACTCTCTTCCTTTTTTTGCGTACTGTTCATCAGCATTGTCCTTTAGCTCTATTGTTCTTACTTTACTTTTATTATTTAATTGTTCTTATTATTCCAAGCCTACCTCGAGGTCGCAGAGCTCGAGGTCACTGCTACTGAGTAATATTGGTTTGATTCACTTTTCTCTTTCATTTCTACTTCATACTTCTTGATTATTAATTAGTATTGAATTAAAGCACGTATCTTTAAAACCAGGAATCAAATTTAATTGTTACTCGTATTTTCGAGGTAAACATGGTCGTAATGTGACTATAATTAGTATGAAACTTATGGTGCTAAAATACGCCAAAGAGTTTGTGGGACTATAAAAAGCTGGGACTATAAAAAGCTTCACAGAGTATAGAATTCAAATTTTAAGTAAAATAATTTCTGATTTTAAAAAGGGTTATTCTATTACTACTAATTTTGTCCGAATGAAGGACAAAAAGGTCAACATGGAAATATCGAAAAATATAAGGGCCAACTAATATTCCTGCAAACGGGACTAACTTGTAAAAATCTTATCTTCCCCAGTGCTTCCAAGGATTTTAATTAACACCTTAAACCCTTCAAAAACCCACAAAATCAACCCCAATTCCTCTAAATTGCTACCTTTAACTATAATCTAACCCAATTTTAGAGTAAAAGCTGATGATTTTACAGCACTCAATTTCCATCTGTAAACTATGGAGGCTGACATCTCCACCAAACCTCTTCTTGTTTCGACCTTCTGCTGCTACTTATACTTACCGACCGCAGTGTTGTCGAATTAGAGCATTTGGGTCTGCTGTTTCAGCAGCCAAAGTTGCTGATACGAATCAAAATGAGACGTTTTTTGCTGAAGAAAGTGTTTCTTGGACCTCTTTGGGTGTCTCAGACACATTATCTCGTGCTCTTTCCAGTATTGGCCTTCATAGACCCTCTTTAATTCAGGTATTATTTTTTATTTGCTCTTAAATTTTGCCTATTATAGGTGAATTATTACTGAAAGTTGAATCCTTTTGGTTTCTTTTATTTAGTATGAACTCCTTAAACTGTAGTATGGTGATCTTTTCTAAAAGTTGAAGCCTTTTGGTTTCTTTGATTAAGTATGGATTTTCTAACTTATGATAAGTGTCTAATACTTCTCTCTCTCTCTCTCTCTCTCTCTCTCTCTCTCTCTCTCTTTTTTGAAAGCAATAAAATAAGGACTGGAGTGTTTAGGAGGAAAGATCAGGGAATGGAGCCCTATTTCTAAAATGTCAACTCAGGGATTGGAGCCCAAATGTTGGCAAAAAAGCGACTAGGGAATAGAGGCCCTATGTCTAAAAGCTCAACTCAGGGATTGGATCCCTAATGTTAGTAAAAAGGCGACTAGGGAGTGGAGGCCCTATGTCTAAAAAGCTCAACTCAGGGATTGGAGCCCAAATGTTGGCAAAAGGCGACTAAGGAATGGAGGCCCTATGTCTAAAAAGGCACAACTCAGGGATTGGAGCCCTAATGTTGGCAAAAGGCGACTAGGGAATGGAGGCCCTATGTCTAAAAACTCAACTCAAGGATTAAAGNGTTTCTTTGATTAAGTATGGATTTTCTAACTTATGATAAGTGTCTAATACTTCTCTCTCTCTCTCTCTCTCTCTCTCTCTCTCTCTCTCTCTCTCTCTCTCTCTCTCTCTCTCTCTTTTTTGATAAGGATAAAACAGGATTAACCTCTTTACCTCAAGTATTCTAATTTTTTCCTGGTTAAAGCTTGTTCACTATAGGAAAATTATGACAAAAAGTTGAATCTTTTTTGGTTTCTTTGATTAAATATGAATTCCTTAAACTGTGTTATGGCGATTCTATCTAATATGTTGCAAACAGAGTAGGTACTACTCTAATCTTAAGGTCTGTTTGGTTTGAATTTTCTTACATAATTTAATCATTTTTTTGGAGAAATCAGTTCCTATGGTAAGTGCCTATTTTGTATTAAGTGGGGCCTGATAAGTAATTTTTTGAATAACCGAGCAATCGTCAAGGGCTAGTGGCACACTGTTCGAAACTTGGTGGATAATGGAGCCACCCCTCTGCTATTCTCTACTTAAGTATCAGGCTTTTGTCTGTAGTAGGATCAAACCCGTAATGTGTGCCTAATCCGCACATCACACGGTGGTTCTTACCAGTAGACTAAAGCCTCGGTGGCGATAAACAATTTGCTCTATTCAGGTCAAAGTATTCAAAGGATTGTTATTGTTAGACTATTATGACCCATCAACCGACTGCAACACTCCTCCTTTATCTAAGCTTGAAACCATGTCTGCTTTTGTAAGCTCACAATAGGTGAAGTTTTTGTTGGACTGGTGCACCAAAAAAATTAAACTTTTAGCAAATAACCAACAGTTGTTTCAGTGAATGAGTAATAATAACCAAGTTATCTAAGAATCAGTTATACTGACGATCAAAATCACTTTCACAATCCGAATTCAGTATCATAATCTGAACCAAACAGGGTATTATGGTTAAATATGATGTTAATTGTGGACTTTGCAACATATGTATTAAGAGGGAAGTGGAATTACATGTACATTAATAATGCAGACCTAATCAGTTATCTTCTGTCATCCTGAGATTTTTACACACTTCTCTTTGATAAGTATTTTCACTTAGGGGACTAGCTTTGTTCAGTTGGCTTATTTGGTAGACCGAAGTTCAGCCAGCTTTTCTTATTTCTTTCCTTGCAAAAGTATCTTCCATAGTTGGATTAAGTATTAACTGTGTTCAATTAGTAGAACTCATGGCCTAATAAGTGTAATCCGTGGGAAGATGCAACTTTTTATGAGAAACGATCCCGTGGCAATGTGGTCAACCTGTCATTTTAGAAAACCCAAATGAGTGGAATTGGCTTTTTCACTGGGAGGAATGCCCAGGAGTACATGGATATGACTAATTTTCAGAATTAGAAAGAGATACTTTCTCATAGAGTGTCAATTATCTTTTCACTATCACTCTAGACTTATCGTTCTGTGGGTAGAGGTAAATGTGGTCGGCCTGGTAGTATGCGTGGACTTGTTATAGAAGTTTCACTGAGAGGTCAATGGACTGGGCTGATGGAAAATCAAGTATGAACTCTATAAACATCAAGTATCTCATTTAAATGATTCAACTATTCAGCTGCAAAAGCCAAGGAGCTAGATGAAGCTGACGCATATTTTAACACTACTTCATATTTACTTCTGAGTTCTGACTGTATCACAGTTCATATAGCTAGACAATACCCTGTATGCTTTCTTTCTTGTGGGGTCCAAAATTTGTGTCATATAAAGATATAAATTCGTTGTTAGTATAAAGTTTCATTTCTTTATTCTTGGAGACACATTTCATCTTTTTGCATAAGTCAGTATCACATGAATATCTTTTTGTGATATAGTAAACCCAACCGCAAACCCCTCTCCCTGGAGTCAACACTGACCCTTTTCCCACTTTGCTCCCTTGGTGACGCAAATCTTTCAACTTTTTGCAGAATATTCACCATGTGGAATTTAAAGCATATAGCAATATAGCATCATGATATAAGTTACTTCGGTTTATCATCCGAGTATATCTTTTCAGTTATATTCAGTGTTAAATCTTATAGCAATGATATATGTTATTTTGGTTTATCATCTGAGTATATCCTTCAATTATAGGTCGTAGTCTTAAATCCTATAGTAATGATATATAATCTCAAATTCAGGCGACTTGTATACCAAGTATACTTTCAGGTGCTGATGTGGTGGTTGCTGCAGAGACTGGTAGCGGCAAGACTCATGGTTACCTAGTGCCGTTGATTGATAAGCTATGCCAATTGTCTGATAATTCAGGGGCTATTGCTGATCAGGATGTCAGGAAGCACCATCGTCTTTCTCTTGTTCTTTGCCCCAATGTTATGTTATGCGAGCAAGTGGTTCGAATGGCTAATAGTCTTTGCAATGATAGTGGTAAACCACTTCTCGGGGTTGCAGCTGTTTGTGGCCGACAGGTGAGCATTCTCATTGTCATTGTTGATCCTTGTTTACCCGAGAACGCACATTCTTTCTTGCTGTCAATCAAAGTTCTTTTTGCATGATGATGTTGCTATGGATGTTTATGCTGCTTTTCCTCATAAACTTGTAATGTCTCTAACAAACGAGAAGTTTAATGCAGGTCTGGCCAGTAAAAGAACCAGATGTAATGGTGTCGACGCCGGCAGCACTTTTAAATTATCTCTACTCTATAGATCCAGAAAGGCGAAGACGTTCAGAGTTTATACGCAGTGTTAAATATGTGGTATCATTTTTTGAATTGCTAAATTTGATCGTTGAGAAAGTGACAATCCAAAATTCAGTCTTAGTAAGTTGTTTTGGTGGTTTCTAGGTTTTTGACGAGGCAGATATGCTGCTTTGTGGCAGTTTCCAGAACCAAGTGGTCCGACTTATAAATATGTTTCGTTTTGATGAGAAGCAGTTGTCTCGTTCTAAAAATTCAGAACCTGAGATGTCATCGACCTCAGATTTGGAAGAGTTTAGAGACCTAAAAGCAGATTATGGTGAAGATGAAAATGAAGATGAAGATACTGAAGTTGGTGAGGATGGTGCAAATTTAGAAGCAGACACACGGGGGTTAAAGAAAAAAGATTGGCGAAGAGTGAGAAAGATATATGAGCGGAGCAAGCAGTACATTTTTGTTGCAGCTACTCTTCCTGAAAATGGGAAGAGAACTGCTGGAGGAGTTTTGAAGCGGATGTTTCCTGATGCTAGATGGGTTAGTGGAAATTATCTTCATCAGCACAGCCCAAGGTGCCACTTTTATGTTTCTTTTAGTCCTTTATTCAGTTCTCATTTAGTAATTCCTAGGTGGAGGGGGGTGGCAAGAATCAGCCCTTTTCTCTAATTTAATAACAATCATCATCATATCATACTATATCATACTATATTATAAGTGCGAAGACTTTTAGATAATGTTATTTTACTAGAATATCCTTCAAAACTTGAATGACCAAATTATCCTATACCTAAAGTAAAATTATTTGCCATTTAAATATATATAAAATTGGTCATTTAATTGAGATCCTAATAAATGGTAGTATTCAATTATCCTTCCCATCTTTCACGTTTTTTGTCCGCTTGCTCCTTTGAGCTTCCACTATTAAAATCATCCGTTCAAAACCTTTTTATATGCTTGTTTTTTTTTTCCGTATAAAAATGCACACAATATATTGTCACTTCATTTCTTTTACCGTGCATTCTTTATGCCAAAGTCGTATCCATTGGCATAATTTTTCTCTCCCATAAGAAGACAATAATCTTTTGGCTTTTGCTTTTTTATTTGGCAACAGATACATTTTATTGGTAAATTACAGTTTTTTTCTTCTATGTACAAACTTTTCTTTACCTTTATTATTTTGTTTCAGGAGTTCATGAAATTTAGTCTGTCTTTTAGACTTTTGAATTTCCATGCTATTCTAAGCAAGATTATGTCGGGATATTACTCATAAATAAAAATCATATATTGAACATCATCATCTGATATGTACTGAATTACTTCATTAATCCCAATTTAAAAAATGAAAAAGAAGAAAATATCTCCTTTCATAGTACTAAGTTTTCCTTCATTACTATTACTTTTAGAGCCTACAACTCCTTTTTTTTTTTTCAAAAATAAAAAAATTCTGCTCGTGTAGTCCTAGCAGATAAAAGCCTGACTAATAGGAGTATTGGATTATGTTGTCACTGAAAGAAAAAGAAAATGAGAAAACAAAAGCATAATTTATACAAGAACAAAAGATGTAAAAAAAGAGATTCGATTTCTATTCCTATTATAACTTTTCTTAGTGTTATTTGTGTATATAAAATATAATGATTCCACAAAAATAAGGGAGTTAGCTCAATCTGTATATTGAATAGGCTATTCACAGGCTTATATAGATATTAAAAGTAATAGTAAAAGTGAAATATTCATTAACTTTTATTTTAATATCATAATTATTGTAGCTTTTCTCTATGCTCAACGTTTTGTCTAATAAGAGCATATACATGACTTTTAAATTATTTCAAAGCAGGGTCTTATTCAGTAATTTTTTTTAAGCATTCCTTAATTTTTCCTTTAGTCACACAAGCTTCCTCAATTTAGATTGTGAAGTGTTAATTACGCCTAATTATTTGTACAAATCAACTATTAATATTTTTTCTCCTAATTTACAAATGACACGAGTCATGACTCATAATTTTGAATAAGAAAACAAAATTCAAGTACTGCAACAAAGATATATCTACACACACACACACACAATTTTGTATCTCAGTAACGATCAAGTATCTCTATCATAATTAATTATTACTTCTTTAGAGGTTCAACCATGAAATTGATCATGATCTACTAGCTATTTTAAGGAAGACGTGTCAATCAAACATACTATACTACTTTCATTTGACACAACTTTTTGATATGTATGTTGTTGTAAGAGGTCGCTGCTGTTTCTTAAAGACAAGGTAGAACCTAATTTAAACGTGAAGTAATTGAAACTATAGTCAATGTTGAAGCTTAATGTTTGATATGTTAAACAAAATGCATAATTAAAGTTGTTTGAACATACTTTTCAAATTTTATTATATAACTTTTATAAAATTTCTAAACTGTTTTAATACTCATTGTATGGAGTATACGCCCATATCCAGAACTAGTCTATGTAAATGTGTGTGTGGGCCGTTGGAACCCCCCCAACCCCCAAACCCCCCACCCCCCCCTTCCCCACTTCTCCCATGATTGTGGCCTAGTATGAAGAATCATCCAGGTACTATTGATGGATTTTGATGTGTTGTTCAGCTTCCATTAACTTAGTGCCTTGACCAAGGAGATTATGTCGTCATATGTGGATATTCAAGTTCTTTTGGCCGTATCAGTATTTCCATTCAATGGCTAACCTTGTAATAATTTTCCGTGTAGAATTTTACTAGTTTGACTTTTATCACCTCTGTGCTGTCACTTTAGGTTGGAGCAGAGGTGGATTGAAGTTTCAGTTGATACCCAAGTGGATGCTCTCATCGATGCTGTGAAAAATGGAGATTCTATGGTAGATAGTGTTCCTGGAGTGCTCCGAACCATGGTCTTTGCAAATACTGTTGAGGCTGTGGAAGCTGTTGCTAAAATTTTGACAGGAGCAGGGCTTGAATGTCTCCGCTACCATAGTGATAGCTCTTTGGAGGAGCGCACACAGAATTTACTTGATTTCCAGCAGAAAGGTGGTGTTTTTGTGTGCACTGATGCTGCAGCACGTGGTCTTGACATTCCAAATATTTCACATGTTATTCAGGTTTGTTTTCTAGTGAATAAACTTACATAATTTAGTTTCTGCTTGTTCTTTAATGCATGACACTGGTTTAAATTATTAAATATGATGATATCATTTTTCTTTATGAATTCGTGCCCAACACACACCTTATTGATGCGACCGACACTATACAATGGTGCTTCTGCAGTATACTGCATTGCTGGGTTAAATGGCTACTTATATATCGATTATGTTAGTAGAATTACTTAAATGTACTTGTTGGGATCAAAAACTGATACATCTTACCTAAAGGTCCATGGATATGAAATTGTCAAAAGATTTCATCTCCTTTACAACTTATGTTAATTAGTCTTACAATTTCTCTACATACTTTTATTGGCATACTCCTGTAGTTCTGTATTGATCTGTAGATTCAATAACATGTTTTTCCTCCACAACTGTTTTTTAATAAGTTTTTTTCCCCTCTCATTTTAGGCAGAGTTTGCCACGTCTGCTGTAGATTTTTTGCACAGGGTTGGTCGTACAGCAAGAGCGGGCCAACCTGGCCTCGTTACAAGTCTCTATAGAGAATCAAACCGTGATCTCGTTGCTGCCATTCGTCATGCAGAAAAAATTGATGAACCAGTGGTAAGTTCTGGATCTTATAATCCTTTAAGGTCAATAAAATTTAAGCTAGAGAGAAAAAGAAACTAGCTCAGTAATTAAGAGAAGCCTATGTCTTATGGTTAGCAGCTCAAATAGGTGGTTACCAAAGTATAGCTTTCATATCTTTCAACGATAGAAGCAGCGGCGGAGTTAGGATTTTAATCTTATGGGTTCAGGATTATAATCCTTTTAAGTTACTGGGCTAAATTAATAATTTGTACATATTCATTGGATTTCTTAATGCAATTACAAGGTTTGAACAAAAGCTATTGGGTTCGGCCGAACCCGCAACCAACATTGTGGCTCCGCCCCTGGATAGAAGTGCGTCTGATTCTTATTGTTCTCTAATGCTCTAGATAATACATGCAAAAGTTGCTTGTGCTTCACAACTTAAGCTTCTCAAGAGATACTTTATGTATTCTTTTTGCAAGAATGAATTCAAAGAGAATTACTTTTATAGTTATGAATATTAAATTGATATCTTTCCCCTATGTAAATACAGGAGAAGGCATTTAGCAGAAAAAGGAGCTTTCGCAATAAAATCAAGAAAAGAGGCAGAGAAGCTTCCCCCGTGAGGTGAAGATGTTCTGATTTTGACTTTGTAACATCTTTTTGCATTTGTTTCTCACACAGGTTGTATTTTACTGTAATATCCTTAGACAGTAAAAGAAATGAGTGCAGAGTATTTGAAAGTTTTCACATGATCAGTTCTCTTATTCGTGGTTATGAAGCAGGAAACTGTTTGATCAAGAAAAAAAAAAAAAGAAAAGGAAACAGAGGTTGGATAAAAGGGAGAAATTCAAAAATAGCCAGATTTACAAGTGGTCATTCAAAAATAGCCACAGTTTCAAAAGTAATTGAAATTTAGCCACATTCCATGTAAAAATAGATCTGAACGACACTGTTCAAAATTCGGAAATTACTCCAGCATAATATCTGTCACACCTCCTTTTTCGCGAGGGAGATACGAAGTTTTTCAAGTGACATTATTCGAAATGAGATTATTTATTTATTCAGAGTCGCCACTTGGAATGATTTATGGTGTCCCAAGTCACCGGTTTATTTTAAATCCCAAATTGAGGAAATTTGACTCTGTTTGAAGTCTGCGAAAACCAGAAGACCGGGTAAGGAATTCTATTAACCCGGGAGAAGGTGTTAGGCATTCCCGGATTCCGTAGTTTTAGCACGGTCGCTCAACTATTGATAATTGGCTTAATTATCTGATTTATTACATGTTTTAAACCTATTTTGTGCTTTTTACCTTCTAACCGCTTTTGATAGAGTTTTAATTTCTTTTATGGAATTTATTTGAATAAGTCGCGATGTCGCGCACTTATTGTTTTTGGACACATTGCGAATTGCGTCACGGGAACCGTACCTACGATCCATAACATGTTTATTTTATTATTATTTGAAGTTGTAAGGTCAAGTCACGTGAAACACACACTCAAGTTGGGGATTATGTATCACGACCATGCCACGGGTACCGTATCCATAGCCGTAATGATTTAATATTAATCGCGCCTAAAGCAAACTACGATATTCGAATTATCTACCTAAACTACTTTGGGATTGTGTGTGAAGTCATGATTACGGATATGGATTTTTGTGGAAATGAGTGTAAGTTTACTAAAGGAAATGATAATATTAACCGTATCTAAATTGTTTGGAAATGTTTGACAATGGTTAAGCATTCTAAAAATTGGAGTCAGCTGCCTGTATTTACTGATATTGGCTTGAAGAAAGTTCTCATCATTTTTGGCCAAACACGCTTCAGATCAGCTTTTGCTCACTTAAAGTCACAATCTAACCACATATGAATACAATCCATGGTCTACAATTTAACTGAGTAAAAGCATGAGTTCAGCTAATTGACTCTTACAGTGGAGGCATCCATAAACTGAAACCAATTGTATGGACTCAAAGACGTTTAGTTTGTACACTGATTTTGTCAATAATGAGAAGAAAAATTCAAGTGAACAAACACAATTTAATATCGACAATTACATACATTCCATGAAGGCATAGGCTCACAAATTAACACTCATGTACTGTATCTGAACTGGGATTCAAATTACAAATTTTCACAATCTAAAAGCTAGTTCAATGCATTCCATGACTCCATCTCATTGTCTTGAGTGATCATAGCTATTCTTGAATCATACGCCTCTCGTTCCTTTAGACATATCTTTGAGTTATAAGAAAATAGCCACTGGGCTACTTTTATGAATCAGTTCTGTCATGCATACGGCTGTAATATGGGCCGGGCCCGGTCCTAAATGGGCTTCGTGGGCTTTTTGTAAGAACCGACCCAGGACCGGAACCACGAACTAATGGTCCCGGGCTAAGTGGTCCGGTCCCGGGCCTATGTGGGCCTAAGTGGGCCCAACGGTTACTTTCGATTTTTTTCTAAATTTTTTTTATCTAAGGCAATTCCTTGTAAAATTATATTATAGAATTGTGACCTAAATTTTTTAATTCAAATGTAAACACAAAAATATTGTAGAAGGCTGTCTAGAAAAAGCAGGGGTAGTAACAAGAGGGTCAGACAGGGCATCATTTGGATTATTATTAGTTGGGTTAACTTCAGCAACAAGACTAGTGGTGTATCGTCATCCGGTTGCGTTTCATCAAAATCTATTTCTTTATCATCATTTTCATCAGTAGTTGGGTTACCATAAAGAGCATTCATATATTCATCATTTAGTATTTTTTTTGTATTTTGTATAACTATCGTAATTTATATTAATATAAAGTAAATATATAAAACAAAAAAACAATCTTATAAAAAGAGTGTTTGAATAAAAGGATGCAAAGGCTTTAAAATCTTTATATTTAAAATTTTCAATATTTCATTAAGAATTTAAGATAATAGAATACAATGAAGATGGAAAAAAATTGCACTTATAATTTGCAAGTTTTTTTTTTAATTTCAAACTTACAAATTAAAGTTTACATTTAACAACAACTAAATTAACGGAAAAAGAGTAAACCTAAATTTTCATTGCATAATAATAATTCAAATTAATCTAACAAACTAAAACATTAAGCATAAATACGTCTAATAATTTTAAAATAACACAAATTGTCTCAAATCAACTTAAATACAAATTTCTAGAGGACGCTCAAGACAACTCTTCATATGCCTCCTTAAACAGCCTGTACCCACCCACTTTAGACGAAGATTTAAGACTAGACCATAGTTCTTCCACTTTACTTTGTGAACTTCTTCATTTTCTTCTACCACCTCAAAGTGTTCCCGAACATATGAGCGCACTCTAGAAGTACGGGGCATGATTTAACTTGAATTGAGAATTTGAGTTTGAGAAATGAGAGATGAGTGAAGAGATGAAGAAGCAGGGGGGGATGTATTTATAGTTTTTCAAAGGGCTAAATTAGTAATTACTAAAAGTGTTATTTTTTAAAAAAACATTGCCCCAAAAAGGACTAGTCTTGCAATCACTCTTGGATTTTTCCTTATTTTTACTAAATTACAACAATAAAGTAACCAATTATAGAAGAAAATTAGAGAGAGATCGATGATTTGGTGAGAAAATGAAAGTGTGAGGGGGTATTTATAGTTGAAAATAGGGAAAAAGTGTAATTATAAAAAGTTTGGGATTAAAACAAAGTTGGGGGTTGGGGGGGGGGGTAGGGGTTAATTGGCTATTTTGTAAATAGCCAACGGCTATTTTGGTAGTCTAAACAGCTACTTTTTAAATGCCCTAACGGGCAGATTTTTTTTTTTAAAATTTGGAGCTGTTGGGCCCGTTTAAGACTGTTTAGGACCGGTTGAACCGGCCCACTTCCCAACCGGTCCCGAGCCCAAACAGTCCCGATCTCGTGGGCCTAATGTACAAGACCGGCCCACTACCCAGCCCACCTCCCCACGGTCTCGGTCCTATCTGTTAGGAGCGTTTAGGCCCACTGCCCATATGGGCTTGCGGTCCTGGGCCGGGCCCGGTCCTAACCGGCCAACATGCCACCCTTAGTCTTGCACAACAACTAAATGACTAGGCAATAAATCTGATTAATCCATTAGTATAGATATCATTTGGAGTATGAATCACTAACTTTCAAAAAAATAAACCATTATAAACTAAACAACAAATTGATTATGAGATGATTTTAACATATAAACTTGTAAACCAAACAATGATGAATCTGGGAAATTAAACCTACACAATGACATTGAGCAGTTGTGTAAACTAGTCAAGAGACAAATCCAATCACCATATTTAGTTCAGATAAGCAACCAAAACCAGAAATTTACATGGAAGCAATTGCAGTGGAACATAGTAAGGAAATCAAACACAAACAACACCAGATAGTCCAAATTTTATTCATAAGTACAACATGAAGCTATAGGTAAATTTGTACATCCCTAAAGGCAAGAAACAACAAATAAAGGACCAAATAAAGGTCAGAAAACCAGGTATGAAGCCAAGTTTAACAAAGCAGCGTAGGCAGCAGCAAGAAGAACAACAGTAGCAACACAGCAGCAATAAAACAAGAGGAGATTGAGCTGAATCAACCTCTTAATAGCAGAAATAGTGAACCAACAAGAACAGAGAAATATTTTCTGTTTCTAAATCTACTTTGAGACTCAAGAAAAGGAAAGAAATTAGTGTGTGATGGAGAAATTTTTGCCCAGAATTCCTTGTATATTCAGAGATGCCTTTTATAGTGAGTATGCTGATGATAATGTGTGTGTGAATGAGTGATCTCTTGCTTCTTATATAGAGTGTAAAAGTGTATAGATAGAGATGAGGGAGAGGGGAGGGAATTTTCTGCCAGTTCTCTAAAAATCAGGGAAATAGCATCTTTTAACAGAAAATGGACAGCTGTTGGAACAACTCTCCATTCAGATATTTACTCATACTTTCCTAACCCTTTTACTTCTGATTTTAACCTTTTTAAACCCAAAATCTTCATTTTTATGCATTTTAGTTCCTACTATTATCTTCTAGAACCTTCTAGGCAATTCCAGACTTAGACTCCTTGATTTTGGTTTCCAATTAACTCCCCTAAAGTTTCTGTTATTACCTTTTCCACCCCCTTTGAGTTTTGTTATTTACTCTTTCTCCTTAACTTTCTTTTAATTCTAACACCAACCTTAATCAAATCTCATCATCAAGTCAAGACATTTGATATATCACTTTAGTAGAGGAGTAATAATCCAAACCTAGAGTCAACAAAATTCACACACTAAACAAGATTAAACTCCTAAATACGCTTGATGAATTTTAATCACATGAGAAAACTTTCAGGAGTTCAGAACTAATTCAAACAATGCCTTAATTAATCCTAAAAAGAGACAACCAGAACAATTCATCAATAATGACCTAAAACAAATAAGAACAAACCAACTCAGAAGATATACCATACACTCCCAATTAAACTCTCGATTAATCCAAACTCAAATGCAGGTGTTAAATGTCACTTGGCCCAAAACTTTCAAAATCAAAACCTTATGACTTATAAGGAACCAAACGCACATAACAACGATACACACAAGCCAAAAGCAAAAGTAAAAGCAATCAGAATCGGCGAGGACATAGGAGCGATATTTTACCTAATTGAAACTTCAGCAAGTCAACAGAGGCGGCATCCGGCGAGCCAAATGAACTTCGGCAAGTAATGAGAATTATGACACGAGCACTGGCCAGAATTTCTTCACATGGCCAGTGCTACGCACAATAAT